AGATGGCCCGGCAAAGAAAGCCATGGCACCAGCACCAACAGGAGTTAACGCCAACCCCAGCCCCAGCACTAGCTCCAGAACCAGGATATGTGATTTACTTTAAGAATACTATCACATCAAAAGTGATCAGTGACGATACATGTGCTGAATATTTTGGTGTTATATATTTCTTGATGGTAAAATCATCACTATCATTAACGTATACAACCCACATGAAAGTGAAGTGGTACCTAAACCTCCTGACAGTATGGCACATAATGATACTGCTTTATTGTGTGAGTTTTTTATGCTCGTCATCCTCTCCTGGGCTCTGAGAGAAGCATCATAGGCAAATCGGTAAGGTTTACTATCTCCAAAACACTAGTGACCCTTTATACCTATTATGCCTCATAAAAAAAGGTGGCAAATTAAATTATATAGCTCTATCCAATCACCACACACTCCCAAGCACTGCGAAAGTCATCCCATTTTTATTCAGTAACCATTTTCCAATAAGTATAATCTTCCCATTTTGCAAAAGAAGGGATTGGCTATTGGTGTGAAGACTTTACTCCTACCAGCCTTGGTCATTTAAATGGTAACACCATTAACCAACTCCACCCCAGAAACCCAGTCAAACATAAGTCTCCATCCTCCAGAGGCAAACGAGCACGTCATCTGAACAAAGATCTTGAAATGAATCTCCTTAGAAAGCTTATAAGGTCTACAGTAAATCAGTTAAAGCACTTGGGAAGAACCCCCCCCCCCTACTTTGTCACTCTTCGGTATATGCTGCAAGAAGAGGGGGTATACGAGAGAGAGAGAGGGAGGAGAACGCGGCAACACGGGGAAGGTGAGGACAGACGCACAGAAGCGAAGGGAGGTCAGGTCAGGTCGAAGGATCGGGCGGACTATGCGAAGAGTGGCCGGCATAAGGGACAAGGCGGAGGATGTGGGCAGCGAGGAGACTATCAGCAGGAGAAAAGCCGCTGTTCAGGTTGAAATCAGGAAGCAGCTTAATTAAGGAGGATTCAATTAGTCTGCGGGCGTGGACATCAGCGGAAGGAAAGACAATTCCGCTGACCAGTCCATCTGATGGTCTGGTCCACTGATGGCAAAAGAGGGCGTTGTTATGTTCCCTTGATACATTGTACTTACGTTGAAACTATAATATTCATATAATTAATATAATATAGTTTAGTTTGATTCCATTTATTACAATGGATATTCTTGGTGTGGCATACTGTCAGTTTCATTTTGCTTCTAAATTATCCCCTGTGTGCAAGGAATGGTTGGGGTTACAATCCACCGGCGGCAAGGGATTTGAACGCAGGTCAGCCAGATTGCTAGACGGGATCGCTACTGCTGCACCACACAGCACAGGCGCTGTGCTGTGTACCTGTCTCACCAAAGTTTTGCTTATCATAGGAGGCACAAGAACAGCATAGGTACCCACCCTCGAGGTAGAGGGAGGACTGGTGTGGACCAGATTGCGACGGAGAGTGTTCACCTGGCGAAAGATCAGCCTGCAGGTATGAGAGGGTGAAGAGGGCGACGGAGAGAGTAGATCTCCTCATTGTAAGACAGGGGAGGAGTCTCTTTAGGAGAGGAGTCGTGGTAGAAGGTACGCCGTGCGCTAGATAACGCGACGTCTAGAACATGACGAGGGAGCTTGTTGTCAACCCATTCCACCTTGAAACGGATGGAATGAGAGGGAGAGTTCAGCTGCGTCAGGAAATCCTAGAACAGGGGAGGGTCATGAGGCCAGAGAGCAAAGACGTCGTCGACGTCGACGGACGAAGGGAGATGGAAGGGAGAAGCTCAGACTCGAAGAATTCCATGAACAGATTTGCCAAGACTGGAGAGAGGGGAGATCCCATGGCAACATCGAACGCCTGAGAGTAGAAGTGATCCTCAAAGGAAAAGGAATTAGACTCCACACACACAAAATCAGCTGGAGGAAGACGTCGGTGGACAGAGGAAGATGAGGATCCTCTTCGGGGAGCCTCCTCTGAAGGAGAGTGCAGATGGGGCGCAGAGGCACGGCCGGCTTATGGTATGTCGACAACGTCGGGAAGGCAGCATTGCAGGGGGGGTGTAATGTTTCAAATTTGCCGACAAAGGGCGTGGTCATTGGGCGTTGGTGACTTTATTAGTCACACAATAACTCTATGTTCTGTGAACCATTCGTAGAGAGCGCTGACTAATTAGCAGCAGAAATTGTCAAAATTTACCAGTTTGCCGAAAAAATGCAGGTTTAAGGTTTCAGTTGCCGACAGATGCCCCCCCCCCCCGCGACGGCCCTGCATGACCCTGCCCTATTCTTGGAGCAGAGGACCATCTCCTCTTTTCCATGGTCATGAATGAACGGTTTTTTGATACTCTTAATATATTCGCTGTGTGCCATGGAACGCATCTGTCAGTCGCAAGAGTAATAATTGCTTGTTAATCTACATTATATAAAAATATCCACGTATGATACACAAAGGAAAACACTTCTGTTGCAGTCATTGTTTGCAGTGCGTCAAACATGCAAATCAAATATTTACATATTAGTGTGGATATTTTCTTGCAATAAAGTATCGGCAAATCTTGTGTTGGTATCGCTTTAATAGATGTATCGCTTTAGACAATTTTGTGTATCGATGCCCACAACTGCATATATATATATATATATATATATATATATATATATATATATATATATATATATATATATATATATATATATATATATATATATATATATTTATATATATATATATATATATATATATATATATATATATATATATATATATATATATATATTTAAATATATATATATATATATATATATATATATATATATATATATATATATATGTATGTATATATATATATATATATATATATATATATATATATATATATATATATATGTATATATATGTATATATATATTTATTTATTTATGTGTGTGTGTGTGCGTGCGTGTGCGTGTGCGTGTGCGTGTGCGTGTGTGTGCGTGTGCGTGTGCGTGTGCGTGTGCGTGCGTGTGTGTGTGTGTGTGCTCGTGAGTGCGTGTGCGTGTGTGTGGCTCGTGCGTGCGTGTGCGTGCGTGTGCGTGTGTGTGAATTATATCCAGGATATCAAGGTGGATTCATTTAGGAAGGAAAGCTGCACTACAGAACTTATTGAACTGAATGAATTCTTTTTATTCTTTAAATCTTCCAAAATAAATGAACAACTCACAATCACGGAAATGCCGATATGAGCGATAAGATTAAAAATGTGCTTCATGGTTTGCAATTATCATATTGAAAATAAAATTCCATTTTGAAATTTACATAAGCCAATAGAATTATATTTAGATAAAACGGGTAATAATCCTTCTTTTAATCGCTCTAACATAGTAACCTTCTCTAGAAAATTCCCTAGAAAATTTATAAAGGAATGTCCCTCGACTCGAACGCTGGTGACTCATCGAGCATCTGGCAGCAACAGATGTAAACAATGAAGGCCTTGCCTGTTGTCACTTTGGTCTTATTTAGCGTCAGTGAATGTGTTATTTCCTTCGATATCACTGGTGGTAAGGCATGAGGCATTGTGACAACATTTAGGATTAGTTAGCTACTTAAAAAAAGGGGATAAGAGTCATAATACTTAGTTTTTTTACGTTTTTGTGATGAGGTTCACAGGTTTGTGGGCAACAACCTGAGGTCGACATACCAAGCATAATCCTCGGTTCGTTTTATATCTGTAGGTTATGTCACCCTTTTGTTACGTACAACACCAATTATTCATCAGAGTGTTTTCTTTAAGGACGAAGGCGTCATCAGATCAGCTGTAACAAGACGTTTTAAGTGTAATATGTAGCGTTTGAGGATATGACTCACCTTCTAACTTCCAACAGTAAAGACCGCAATAGCATCGTCTTCTGTCCAGATGCAAGAAGGATGGAATTCATTAAACTTCTGATAGAGAGCTGCTTCCTATAATTCACTAAATTGGGTGTCGATGGATTCCATGTGATACCTAATAAAAATTCACAATGGTGATAGCTGTAGTAAAGACAGATAAATGTTTTCGTCATTTTCCTCTTACCGCTTTCAGTCTTGGGGTATTGTGGGTTTAGAAGGGGAACACACATCGGAGGAAATGCACTAATTAACCCATCTTGCATGATGATGTCTGATCAGGCCATGACCTCACAGGGATAATCATTGCTAATATCGGATAATCACTTCGGCATGGACACACTAAAGATTACATGAGCACCCTTAGAAGAAACCTTGTGGTCAATTTCCCAACTTGTTGTACTGGACAAACAGAACCATCCCGTATCTGCTCAATTTCAGCAACTTACAAACGGTTGCCTGTGTGCTCCTGAGTTTCAACTCTATCTTGCCATGCATACCCAAGTGAAGACAATGTTTGCTGGAAGTTTTGTTCGGGCATTGTCCAGAGGGCACACACACTCATGACAACTTAAATTGGCAAAAATATTGTGTTATGGAGTTGGGAATCTGGTCTCTGGCAAGTATGCTTGGAATATAGATTGCCACCATGCCGGACCTGCAAGATATGAGAAGATATCCTCATGAGTCATGACGACTCATGAGGTAGTGGCTGCACGAGGCAAACATATCTATCTAACTGCCCACTCAGTCCTGAACTGTTGTGCAAATTATGAGTTATTGCCCTTTTATTGACTCTGCAGACAAATTATTTACTATTTGGTTAGTAATTAATTGGGTTCCACTGATACCTAATAGGTTTTAAGATGCAGATCTAGAAATTTGCCTGAAATTTTCGTATTTGGCCATGTGAGGAGTGAGTAATGAGCGAGTTCTATTATTTTTTTCAATGTCCAAAATAGGACCACATCACAAGATGTGAGTTTTGATTATTATGCTTCAGCAAAGGTCGACAATATCAATATAAATTTTGACTAGGTTCAGCATAGATTTGTTCTTTAGATTATGATGGTATTTCTCCAAGTTCTCAAGCCAGAATATTCTAGGTGAAGGTCTGTTGGCTAATGCCAGAGAATGGCCTCTGAGTCACTGCTAATTTGGAAGGATTCATATATTCAGTCTCTTTATAAGCCTGTGTTGTTTATTTTTCTGTATGTTTGTAAAAGTTCTAGAGTTAATTGCCCATTCTTTGATATTGAATATTATTCCTCTACAGAGTACAGAATCCCCATTAAACTTTCAGAATAAAGGTTTTATATATATTGTCTCTTTGTATGTATGATATATTCTTCTTGTTATGTGAAGTAAGAAATACTGACTTTATCAGTTAACCCCCTAAATACCATGATGTAATTTTTGTACTGATGTTTCAGGTCTCTTTAAGACATACCCAAAGCACCCAAATCTACGATACTATGAAGTTATCGACTCATCGGCTTTCAACCACCACATCGTTAAGAGAGGGATTAAAGAGAGTAATCATCGATTCAATAAAATCAAAGAAGTTCAGTTCAGTGCATTAGGAAGGTAAGATCAAGCTGATATGGTAAATTTATAAAGATGAATTATGTAGTGATATGATAACTTATTTCAAACTTTCTGTATATAAAATTTATTTTTATAAGGATTATTTAACATGCAGATATGCTGTGGACACTTCCCTGTGCAGCAACAGGGCTTCAGCTTACAAATAACCATTTTTCCTTTTCAGGGATTTCCGTTTGATACTCAATCCTCGGAAAGGACTCCTTCACTCACAGTTCAAAGCTTATGCTATAGATGGCAGGGGCAATGAGAAGATCATTCATGTGGGTGAGTTATAGCATTTGTTTCTTTTATTCAGGTTGATCTATTTACATGATTTTTTAATATTTGTAAGTTACAAATATCCAAGCTCATTTAGTAGAGGTTTGAACAACTACATAAAGACAAAAAAAAATTAAATGTTGCTGGGAAGAAGTGATGCTCACTATAGTATTGTTTTGTAAAGTATAAATTAGTAGACCTTGTGATAACTGATGATGATGAAATTTGATATTCTTTTAAGCATTATACTGTTACTGACATTGCCAACAGCAATATAAGATGAATAAGAAAATATTTCCAAAAGTCAAAGGAAAAGGTAAATAGGTGAGATATATACTACTTGTAATTGGCTCACTGGTAACTTGCACAGGTAACTCAGTACAGGGAATAAACTAAACTCAAAAAGGGTGTAGTATGTATGCACATACCATCTCTGGTGGCTTTGACAAACATAACAGCATATGACTAATCTATGCTGTTTCTATAGAGTATTTTAAAGGAAACTTAATATATGATTGCTTCCAACAGACCATGAAAACTTTTATGAAGGTCGTGTCTTTGGGGAGAAGACGTCAGAAGTGTCAGCCCACTTGGAAGATGGGGTTATGACAGCGACCATACACACTCCTGATGACACGTATCATATAGAGGTATGGGTCAAAAGTAATTGGCATTCCTTATTTCCTTTGAAGACTGTTTTAAGTTGAACCTTGCTGTTGTGCAGTTATTTAATTGAATGACTTAGAATTCAAAATAGTGTATGAGTTTCTCTCTCTCTCTCTCTCTCTCTCTCTCTCTCTCTCTCTCTCTCTCTCTCTCTCTCTCTCTCTCTCTCTCTCTCTCTCTCTCTCTTTCTCTCTTTCTCTCTTTCTCTCTTTTTTTTTTTTTTTTTTTTTTTTTTTTTTTTTTTTTTTTTTTTTTTTTTTTTTTTTTTTTTTTTTTTTTTTTTTTTTTTTTTTTTTTTTTTTTTTTTTTTTTTTTTTTTTTTTTTTTTTTTTTTTTTTTTTTTTTTTTTTTTTTTTTTTTTTTTTTTTTTTTTTTTTTTTTTTTTTTTTTTTTTTTTTTTTTTTTTTTTTTTTTTTTTTTTTTTTTTTTTTTTTTTTTTTTTTTTTTTTTTTTTTTTTTTTTTTTTTTTTTTTTTTTTTTTTTTTTTTTTTTTTTTTTTTTTTTTTTTTTTTTTTTTTTTTTTTTTTTTTTTTTTTTTTTTTTTTTTTTTTTTTTTTTTTTTTTTTTTTTTTTTTTTTTTTTTTTTTTTTTTTTTTTTTTTTTTTTTTTTTTTTTTTTTTTTTTTTTTTTTTTTTTTTTTTTTTTTTTTTTTTTTTTTTTTTTTTTTTTTTTTTTTTTTTTTTTTTTTTTTTTTTTTTTTTTTTTTTTTTTTCTCTGTCTCTCTGTCTCTCTCTCTCTCTCTCTCTCTCTCTCTCTCTCTCTCTCTCTCTCTCTCTCTCTCTCTCTCTCTCTCTCTCTCTCTCTCTCTCTCTCTCTCTCTCTCTCTCTCTCTCTCTCTCTCTCTCTCTTTCTCTCTTTCTCTCTGTCTCTCTTTCTCTCTGTCTCTCTTTCTCTCTGTCTCTCTTTCTCTCTGTCTCCCTTTCTCTCTGTCTCCCTTTCTCTCTGTCTCCCTTTCTCTCTCTCTGTTTCTCTCTCTGTCTCTCTCTCTCTGTCTGTCTCTGTCTCTGTCTCTCTCTGTCTCTCTCTCTCTCTGTCTCTCTCTCTCTCTGTCTCTCTCTCTCTCTCTCTCTCTCTCTCTCTCTCTCTCTCTCTCTCTCTCTCTCTCTCTCTCTCTCTCTCTCTCTCTCTCTCTCTCTCTCTCTCTCTCTCTCTCTCTCCCTCTCCCTCTCCCTCTCCCTCTCCCTCTCCCTCTCCCTCTCCCTCTCCCTCCCTCTCTCCCTCTCTCCCTCTCTCCCTCCCTCCCTCCCTCCCTCCCACCCCCTCATGAAGAACAGATTTGTGTAAGATTTTTTGTTGGCTTCATTTACTGTATAGATATCTTTTGTGTAACGTAGTTTTGATCAAAATATCTCTGATTACTGTTATTTAGTTAACTGATAGCAAAAAGAGTGAAAATCAAAAACAGATAAGCTTGTTTGATAGAAAGTTGTCTTTTGAGCCTTAGAAGTAAAGGAATGTATGACCTAAACTTTGCTTTTTTTTCTTTCTCCATCTTATTATTATTATTATTCAGCCATCATGGAGACACATACCAGATACCAGAGAAGACTCCATGATCGTGTACAGAGGATCGGATGTGAAGTACAGCTGGGAAGACAACCATCCAAGCCTCAAAGGACACAAAATGTGTGATTATGTTAAAGAAGGAAATGAAACAACAGGTGTGCCTTGCTGTTATTAATGTTCTGAATTTTTTGCAATCAATTTTGTTTTCATGATTTGATATAGTTTTTAGTTCAGCAAGCTGGAGTGTATATGCTTCGCTTCACTGCTTTTCTTGTTTCTGGATTTTTTTTTATTTATTTATTTTTTTTTTACTGCCTCTGACTTCATATGACAGGTGTATTTTTTTTCCCACAGAGACAGATGATGAAGATGAAGAATGGATAGAAGGTTACGAGCCTCCAGAGGGAATCCTCCCAGAGACTTTGCCTGAAGAGCACGGCCCCAAAAGGAGAGTCAAGAGACAACAGGCGGAACAGTACAACTTCAATGGGGACAAGACACGATGTCCGCTGTTACTAGTGGCTGATTACCGCTTCTTCAGGGAAATGGGCGGCTCAAACTACAAGACCACTGTAAACTACCTGGTGAGTTGGTGATCATTAAAGTATTATTAGTTTCATCATGTCATATATATGTTTTGTAGATCATTTGATTCAGTGCCTGAAAGGGAAATATGAACGGCAAGCAAATATGTATACTTTCTTGAGATTCTTCGCTTAATGAGGCTGATGACCTTTACAGCCAAAATCAAAACTATTAGTAGTGAAGACTTGAAATGTTCCTGATGAATAGATAGGTATGTTCCATCATTTTATGTGAATAAGAATGATGATGTTGTGACATCATGAAGTCATTTCAAAGGGTGTTGCTTGATCTCATATAGCAACCTTAATAATGGACAATTTTTTCTTATATTTTGGTATCTTTTAAGGTCCTATGAAATTAGAATTGAAATATATCCCATGTCACTGAAAGTTATTTTCTTTCGTTGCTTCTGTGCAATGTCATTAGAAACCCTAATTTCAGACAAGTAGTCATATAATACTCATACCTGCTTCACATTATCAATATATCTCTTCCTTTGTCCCTCATTAATGTATGAGCCAGTATACCCAGATAGTCACAAGTAAATCATAATAATTTTTTTATTTTCTATGAATTCAATAAACGCAAAATTAGATACAGCCTTCTAAAGATTTGACATGATTGTATTCATCTTAATTCTTTTGTGTCTTACTCATAATTGTAAAGATCAGAAGAATATTTCAGCTTCTACTACTATATTTAAAAAGCTACTCTTCAAAAATTGCACATCCAGTACCACCTGAAAATTGTACAGCTTCGGAAAGAAATTTTGTTTCACCAGCAATGGGCACCTTCTCTATCCCTAGTAGCCGGTCCTCACCAATTTAGTAATATCTAGAGTGCCACACCTTTCTTTTTTAAACTATTTTCTATTACATCTTTTTGGTTTTGGTGTATGAAATATTTTATAATGAATCATAAGCATATTGAGAGCCATACAAAACTTCTTTGTGGCAAAGGGGAGGAGGAGGATACAGTGGAGTGTCACCTCCTAATGATTTTCTTAGTTTTTTTTTGCTGTGACATACTTTAAAGGTTGTTTTGTAATAGTCTTTTTTTAATTCTCTTTTTACCCATTGTGATTGGAAAAAAACATTGCAAGGAGTCTCTGTTTATTGCTACTGTATGGCAAAAAATATCTAAATACATGAGAAACAAAGGCAACTCTTTTGATGTCAAAAATTAGGCAAAATCACCTTTATTCTGCAAGTACAGTTTTATGTGTAGATCACCTTGTCCCTTTTTTTATATATATATACCCAAAGTGTTGCCAGTTTAAATCATAGCGATCATGATCATTTGAGAGAAGACTCTTATACCTTTCTTTGGGCAGATAAATATTGCACAAGTAATGGTCCTAGTATGAGCCACTCATAGGGCTCTTGCTTAAATTTACATCAAGTAAGCAGGTGTAAAACTACAACAAGGAAGATGAGTGTGTTGTAGGCAGTTGTCAATTTTCAGAGCATTTCTAAAAAATATTGACAATTTTATCTCTCACCTTAGGGATGCACAGTATGTTAGCAAAGGAAAAAGAAATCAGTGAAAATTTGACCAATATACTGAAAATGTTGTGTTCAAATATTTCCAGATCAACCTTATTGATCGTGTGGACAAGATTTATGAAAACACAGTATGGCGAGATGGTGTGGACACGGCTGATTTCTCTGGCATGGGTTTTGTCATCAAGAAAATTTTAGTGCACCAAGAATGGTCTCCAGTAGGTTCCAACCAAGTGCACTATAACATGGAACGCAGCTCCTGGGATGTGCGTAACCTCTTGGAAGTAAGTGACAATGGGAATTAATGTTCTTGGAGGAACTGCACTTAGAAAAACAACAAGGTTTATAGATGATTCCGTTTTCTTGGAATATTTTCTGCATAGTACTAAATTTTTAAAATTTACATTGTGTGGGGAATGTAAATGCCTTAATGTATACTCCTAAATGTATGTACATTTTGTAATGTTTTGAAGTAGGTATGAAAGTGCATGCAGAATTTACATTAGTATCTTCATTGTCATTAACAGGGAGATTAGTTTGTGAGTATGTGTTCTAATAATCATCACTAATCCCCCCTTCCATATAGAAGAAAAATCTGTGAGAGATGTTCAGAGATGTGATTGTTTAAGATTTGGGTTAACCTTACGCTGCTGGGAATATCTAGTGTTCATAATAGTATTGTTTTGTGAAATATGTCTACACATAGATGGCTCCACAAGCACTCAGCTATGAAGGTATCATTTAATAGGACACATAACAATTGGTATCACATTTCCTGGAGTGTTTGTAAAAGGTTTTTTTTTTTTTTTGCTGTGACATACTTTAAAGGTTGTTTTGTAATAGTCTTTTTTTAATTCTCTTTTTACCCATTGTGATTGGGAAAAAAAACATTGCCAGAAGTCTCTGTTTATTGCTACTGTATGGCAAAAAATATCTAAATACATGAGAAACAAAGGCAACTCTTTTGATGTCAAAAATTAGGTAAAGTCACCTTTATTTTGCAAGTACAGTTTTATGTGTAGATCACCTTGTCCCTTTTTTTATATATATATACCCAAAGTGTTGCCAGTTTAAATCATAGCGATCATGATCATTTGAGAGAAGACTCTTATACCTTTCTTTGGGCAGATAAATATTGCACAAGTAATGGTCCTAGTATGAGCCACTCGTAGGGCTCTTGCTTAAATTTACATCAAGTAAGCAGGTGTAAAACTACAACAAGGAAGATGAGTGTGTTGTAGGCAGTTGTCAATTTTCAGAGCATTTCTAAAAAATATTGACAATTTTATCTCTCACCTTAGGGATGCACAGTATGTTAGCAAAGGAAAAAGAAATCAGTGAAAATTTGACCAATATACTGAAAATGTTGTGTTCAAATATTTCCAGATCAACCTTATTGATCGTGTGGACAAGATTTATGAAAACACAGTATGGCGAGATGGTGTGGACACGGCTGATTTCTCTGGCATGGGTTTTGTCATCAAGAAAATTTTAGTGCACCAAGAATGGTCTCCAGTAGGTTCCAACCAAGTGCACTATAACATGGAACGCAGCTCCTGGGATGTGCGTAACCTCTTGGAAGTAAGTGACAATGGGAATTAATGTTCTTGGAGGAACTGCACTTAGAAAAACAACAAGGTTTATAGATGATTCCGTTTTCTTGGAATATTTTCCGCATAGTACTAAATTTTTTAAATTTACATTGTGTGGGGAATGTAAATGCCTTAATGTATACTCCTAAATGTATGTACATTTTGTAATGTTTTGAAGTAGGTATGAAAGTGCATGCAGAATTTACATTAGTATCTTCATTGTCATTAACAGGGAGATTAGTTTGTGAGTATGTGTTTTAATAATCATCACTAATCCCCCCTTCCATATAGAAGAAAAATCTGTAAGAGATGTTCAGAGATGTGATTGTTTAAGATTTGGGTTAACCTTACGCTGCTGGGAATATCTAGTGTTCACAATAGTATTGTTTTGTGAAATATGTCTACACATAGATGGCTCCACAAGCACTCAGCTATGAAGGTATCATTTAATAGGACACATAACAATTGGTATCACATTTCCTGGAGTGTTTGTAAAAGGTTTTTTTTTTTCACTAGTACTATTAGTATTAAAGTTATTATTATTATCATAGACATTATTATTATGATGATGTTATTAACATTTCTAGTAGCAATATAAAAAAAATCAAGGCATAGGGTAATCAGGTGAAACAGGTGAAATATATAGTACTAGTAATTGACTCATTGGTGACTAAGTACTTGTGGAGCCATCTATGTATAAAGACAGTTAATAAACTGAACTCACAGTAAGCTTTGCATAGCCTTACATGCCATCCCCCTGGCTTAGGGTTAACCCATTAGAACCAGGTGACAGAGGCAACTTTTCACTGAAGAACTTTGGTCAAAGGATGGGTGATGGGAACATCTGGTTATGGGAAAAATAATTGGCCAAGGGACAGGTGGAAGTTATGTGTTGTGATGAAATAGAATTTACTCAAGGGGCAGGTGACATGATTGTCTTAATATAGGAAACTGTTGCCAAGTAGGGGATGATGGGGCCATTTTGTGATGAGGGCATGAAGCACTTGCAGGTAGGTTGACTCAGCAGGTCTTCAGAAAAGGGTTCATTTGGGAGCTCCAGCAGTGTGTCTGTATGAATGATAATAATAAGAAGAGTTACATGTTACTTTATTGCAAAGCATGTCAACTACTTGGTAAGGTAATATGAAGTCTGTTCAGTGACAACAGTCTAATACCATCTTGCTACATCATAACAGATGACAAAAATAGGCCTCAGATTAATGGTCAAACAGCAAAAACATACGTGCAGAAAAAGGACTAACAGCATTGTAAGGGGAGACAAGGAGTCTTGATACCACTCACGAGTGTTCATGCGGGCTGGGCTACAAACCCTACGCCAGGAAGAGTCTGCGCTTAAAGAAGGCCACTGCCTGGAATTAGGTCCCCGTGCAAGTCAAGTCAAGTCAACAGATAAAGTTACAAATTCTTTAGTTTTCAACTAGTAGTGGAAGAATTGGCATTGCATCTTTTAAAAGGTCTTCCTTGTTGTTTCTTTGGAAACTGCAAAGAACATGGTGCTTTGAAGCATTTGTGTTATGTGCTGTGTGATGTGCTATGAATATGTTATTCAAAAGAGGAGTGGCTTTTGGTATGCAGGTATTAAGCTTGATCTTCAACATTTTATAGATTTTTATAATAGAATTTTCAGATATGATTTGACTTAGTAGAAGTGACAAAGGAGTTTCAGAATAAAAGTTAAATCATATGTCAATTCCATAATGATGGCAGAATATGAAAAGTTTTGAAGACCCCAGAGTTTTTTATTTCTAATTTTCTAGCTTTTATTTCATTGTGCAGTTTTTAGTCATTCATTTATTTTATTATTTCTTATCTAGATAGTCACATCTCCATCTGTTTCTAATGTGTATTTATAAATGAGAATTTAATGATGAGTTTTGATATATTCACAAAAGTTTGATCGTAAATTACACATACACATACACATACACATACACATACACATACACATACACATACACATACACATACACATACACATACACATACACATACACATACACATACACATACACATACACATACACATACACATACACATACACATACACATACACATACACATACACATACACATACACATACACATACACATACACATACACATACACATACACATACACATACACATACACATACACATACACATACACATACACATACACATACACATACACATACACATACACATACACATACACATACACATACACATACACATACACATACACATACACATACACATACACATACACATACACATACACATACACATACACATACACATACACATACACATACACATACACATACACATACACATACACATACACATACACATACACATACACATACACATACACATACACATACACATACACATACACATACACATACACATACACATACACATACACATACACATACACATACACATACACATACACATACACATACACATACACATACACATACACATACACATACACATACACATACACATACACATACACATACACATACACATACACATACACATACACATACACATACACATACACATACACATACACATACACATACACATACACATACACATACACATACACATACACATACACATACACATACACATACACATACACATACACATACACATACACATACACATACACATACACATACACATACACATACACATACACATACACATACACATACACATACACATACACATACACATACACATACACATACACATACACATACACATACACATACACATACACATACACATACACATACACATACACATACACATACACATACACATACACATACACATACACATACACATACACATACACATACACATACACATACACATACACATACACATACACATACACATACACATACACATACACATACACATACACATACACATACACATACACATACACATACACATACACATACACATACACATACACATACACATACACATACACATACACATACACATACACATACACATACACATACACATACACATACACATACACATACACATACACATACACATACACATACACATACACATACACATACACATACACATACACATACACATACACATACACATACACATACACATACACATACACATACACATACACATACACATACACATACACATACACATACACATACACATACACATACACATACACATACACATACACATACACATACACATACACATACACATACACATACACATACACATACACATACACATACACATACACATACACATACACATACACATACACATACACATACACATACACATACACATACACATACACATACACATACACATAC